TCATAAAGACTGCAATGGGGATTACTGGGACTGAACTGCCTGCTATGGACACACTATACACACAGTGCTGTTGCAAAAGAGCAGAGAACATAATCACAAACCCACTCCACCCAGGTCACACTCTGCTCAGACACAAAAACTGCACCCACAATCGCAGGCACAGCAGAGCGGACAGCATCATCACACACAGAACAAGATTTTACAACAGCTTTTCCCTGCCACAGTAAGACTGATGGACTACAACATGTGAAAAACCTGTGCAATAACCCCTCATTACCCTACTAAGTAGAAGACCATATACAACTAGAAAATTGCATTTTCTGAAGAAAATGCGTATGGATGCTGAGTGCTGAAAGATCGCCCTGAAAATGCTGAATATTTTGACACCTGAATGGTTTTCTTGGCTGAAAGTATGCTGAAGATGGAATTTCCCTATTCACTTGAATGGGGCAAGATTTTCAAAATAAAGCTAAATATTTCAAATGTATGAATTTTAGAAAACTTCTGAAGAGAAGCATGAATGTCCTTGAAGAGTTGAACATTTTGATAGCTGAAATTATGCTGAAGTAGAATTTTCTCATTCATTTGAATGGGGCAAGATTTTCAAAATAAAGCTAAATATTTAAAATGTATGATGTTTTGAAATGTTCTGAATAGTAGCATGAATGTCCTTGAAGAGCTGAACATTCTGATAGCTGAAATTATGCTGAAGTAGAATTTTCCCATTCATTTGAATGGAGCAAGATTTTCAAAATAAAACTAAATATTTTAAAAGTAGAATGTCCTTGAAGAGTTGAACATTTTGATAGCTGAAATTATGCTGAAGTAGAATTTTCCCATTCATTTGAATGGAGCAAGATTTTCAAAATAAAGCTGAATATTTAAAATGTATGATGTTTTGAAAAGTTCTGAATAGTAGCATGAATGTCCTTGAAGAGCTGAACATTTTGATAGCTGAAAGTATGGTGAAGTAGAATTTTCCCATTCATTTGAATGGAGCAAGATTTTCAAAATAAAGCTAAATATTTCAAAACCGAAGTTTAGAAAACTTCTGAAAAGAACCATGAATGTCCTTGAAGAGCTGAACATTTTAATAGCTGAAAGAATGCAGAAATAAAAGTTTTCTCATTCATTTGAATGGGGCAATATTTTCAAAATAAACCTAAATATTTCAAAAGAATGAAGTTTAGAAAAGTTCTGAATAGTAGTATGAATGTCCTTGTAGAGCTGAACATTTTAATAGTTGAAATAGCTGAAAGTATGCAGAAGTAGAA